CGAGCGGGCGAGGATCGTGTGGACGATGGGGAGGAGCAGGACAGGGAGAGGGAGAAACAAGAGAAGGGGGAGAAAGAAGAGGGGGAGTTTGGGAAGGGGCTGGAGGATAGAGGATACTACCATGAGACAGTGTGAGAATTAGCGAGATGAGGAAAGTGATCAGGATTATTGAAAGGAGGGCTCGGGGACGCAGGAGGAAGAAGAAGAGGGGGACGGAAGGAGGAGGAGAGAGAAGGCAGGAGGAGAGAGAAAGGGGAGAGGGAGGAGGGCGAGAGGGGAGCAGGCAAAGGATGACGAGGCTGAAGAGGAGGAAGAGGACGACGACGACGAGGAGAAGGCGGAGGAGGACGAAGAGGAAGAGGAAGAAGAGGAGGGGCGCTAGGGGGACAAGGGGGAGGAGAAGAGGAGGAGGAGGAGGAGGAGGAGGAGGAGGAGGAGGAGAAGGAGAAGGAGAAGGAGAAGGAAGGGAGAAAGAGGAGGAGGAGGAGGTGGAGGAGGAAGGAGGAGGAGGAGGAAGGAGAGTGCCCACCGAGGAAGCCTGAAGGGGCGAGGCTCTGAGTGCGAGCCCCCGCCCTGCGGGGGGGGGGGGGTGGAGAAGGGAACGCGCCCGAACCCGAACGAGCGCCCGCCCCAGCCGAGCGAGCTCCGGGCCCCACCGCGGCTGTCGACGCCTCGCCCCCCCCCCCCGCCGGGCTCCGCACGCGGCCGCCCTTCCCGGGGCCGGGCGAGGCCGCTGCTGCCGACGCCGCCGAGGCTGCAGCCCCATGGGGGCGCCGCTGGCGCCGCCCGGCCGCCAGGGGTGTCTTCACGGGCCCGTTCGCGGCCCGTTTGTGGGGATGTCTGAGGCGGTCTGCTCGTTGTCATGCCCAACATCCTTGGCTTTCAGAGCAGATTTTGAGGATGTCTCAGGCGGGGCGGCGCTCGTCGCGGCCGCTGCGTCCCCGCGCCTGAATGGCGCGCCCTTGGCGCGCCGCTTGCCGGGCGCGCGCGGCGGAGCGGCGCGGCGCGGGCGGCGCGGGGCGCGGGCGGCAGCCTCGGCGGGTGGGGGCGCGCAGGGCGCGGCGGCGGCGCGGCCTCGGTGCGGGGCGCCTCGGGGAGGCGACCGCGCTGGCGGCGGGCGCCCCTCGGGCAGGCTGCCCGTGCGCCGCCGCGCGCGCAAGGGCGCTCTGCCAGGGACCGCTGGAGCTCTGCGGGCCGGGCGCTGCCGCCCGTGCCATCGGCCACCCTGAAAAACGAAAACGAAAAACGTTTGCAGGAAAAACGCAAAATCAAGGCACCTGTGCTTCTCCGCGCTCGGCCTGCGGCCCGTGCGGAGGGCCCTCGACCCGTATGGAGAAAGCTGATATATATATATAATATATCTATATGAATATATATATATAATATATATATATTATATATATATATGTATATATATATATATGTTTGTGTGCATGCATGCATGCATGCATGCAGCATGCATATATATATATATAGAGAAGAGAGAGATGCATGCATACATGCATACAGACAGACATGCATACATACATACATATCTGCATACGTGCATGCATGCATACATGCATGCATGCATATATACATACATGCATACATACATATGTACAAACAAACCTACATACATACATACGTACATACATACCTACATACATAGATACATACATACATACACACATACGAATATACCTGCATACATGCATGCATGCATGCATACATACATACATACGTACATACATACATATAGGCATACATGCATACATACATGCATGCATGCATGCAAGCATGCATGCACATATACATACATGCATACATACACACATGCACACATACACATACATGCATGCATGCATGCATGCATGCATACATACATATTTATATGCACACATACATACACGCATGCGATGACGCCTACATGCATACACGCATGCATGCATATATACATACATGCATACAGTCATGCATACATACATGCATACATACATACAGCATAGATGCATACATCTCTACATACATACATGCATGCATGCATGCATGCATACATACATACGTGTATACATACATCGATGCATGCATACATACATACAGACATACATACAAACATGCATGCATGCATACGTACACACACACGTACATACATACGGATGTACATACATACATACATACATACATACATGCATGCTACATGCATGCCGACATACATACATGCATGCATGCATTCATGAATGCCTAGATACATACAGATATACATGCCTGCATATGTATTACATACATACACACATACATACATACATGCATACATGCGTACATATATACATATACATACATACATACATACATACATACATACATACATACATACATACATACATACATACATACATATATACATACATACATACATGCATACATACATACATGCATACACGCATACATACATACATACATACATACATACATTCATACATACATACATACATACATACATGCATGCACACATATATAC